CGCCACACCCCTCTGCGCCACCCAGTTGGGTGCTGGTGCCCGGGAGATGGGGCTAGCGCGGAGCACGCGCTCCCCCTAAAAGTCTCATGAGGTTTTCCCGCATCAGCACGGCTCCCCGAGGGTGGGGGGGGGGCGTGCCCAAGCCACAACTCCCCACAAGCTTTCGATAAGTCAGTTGGCTTTCCTAATAACTTGCGGGCTGCGGCTTGGCCGCCACGTGCGTATTTCACAAGCTGTTGCACAAATCTCAGCAGTAAAACGCTCCGCTGTGGAAGGGGGTGACGAGAGCGACTGCCAATCCTTGCACGCAGGAGGACATGTGAAAGAAAAATCAGGCTGGGGTTGACAGGGCCCCTTGCACTGTGGAACAGGAAAAGGAGCAGGGTTTGCATTCAAAAAGACCTGGGTAGGAGAAGCGGGAAGGTTCCTCGCAGGAGCGTTGTTACCTGAGGCAAACATGCTCTCCTGGATCCTGTTAGCATCCTCGCCGCCGGGGCGGGTTGGAGCTGTGTCCAGGCACCACGCTGTCTGGAGGTCCAAGGGAAATTAGATAAGGAATTAATCCTGCTGCAGTCAAAGTCTTGGAGCTGTCAGAGTGGAGCATTGCACCTGGGGAAACGACGCATCCTCTGCGGGCAGCGCACACACCAAGGGATGTCCGCAGGAGCGGCGAGGTGCTCCTATGTTTTCCAGAGTGGCTCTGTATAATTCTCACCCTTCAGCCCGAGGGTTTTCGTGCCACAGCAGTGCACAGCAGGCAAACCTCCCAGCTCCCAGTTTGTCCCAGTACAGCCAGCAGGCTCGTACTGGGCCACGCTTCTGCAGACAACCTCAGGCTCCCTGGTATTCGCAGCAATGAGCCAGCAGCAGCCTGGGACCTTATGGTCCTTGTCAGGGACATCTTTTAGCCAGTTATGGACAGGAAAGAAGGCTGAGGGAGTTTTCAGTGTTGCACAACATCAGTTGAGTCTTCCTGGAGCAGCTGACCAAGACGTGGATTTCGGGGAAGTGTAGGATCTCGAGCGGGATGGAAGAATACCCCAGACAGCACCCGACGAAACATGGGCTGCAGCATGCTCCCCACGCCTGGGAGCTGACAGTGTTTTCTATTTTTATTCAGTCACTACGAAACAATAAAGAAGGGAACTATTTATGGGAAAGTAATTGAACTCCAGAGGAATCGGGAGGAATCAGAGCTGGGGGTGCTCTGATCCCCAGGGCTACACTTACAGTCGCAGGAGCCGCATTCCACGCAGCCCCTTGCTCTCTCGCCCTTCTTGGGGTCCGTTAGAGCAAAGCACCGCGGCGAGACAGGCTCCTGCCCTGGGCCTGCGGAGCATGCCTTCATACTCTTCCTTGCCCTGCTCCCAGAAGCATCCAGCAGAGCCTGGGGAAGGAGGACTTTGGTTTAAAAGATAAGTCGTGCAGTATTTGGTTTCAAAAGTCCATGAAACAACACAGCTAATCAATAAACTTCTTTAGCTGACACACCACAGTCACAGCACTTCAATTTTTAGCTAGGCTGACAATCCTTGATTTCTGCTTAAATATCTACCTTGTCTAGAGCTCCAGATGTTTACCACCAGTCACACACTGGAACAAGAAGATGGGCAGATGCAGAAGCCCTAACGGCACTCAAGCGTAAAAGCAGGTACAGAGGATTAACAACAGGGAGAGGTTTTAGGGAACCCACAGGGATAAACGCAGCTCAGTTCATTTATGGCATCGCTTGTTTTGAAAGCTGTGGCTGATCTCACATTCGCAAGAACAAGATACTGTGCAGTACAGGGCCATGGTCTGTGGGCTGCATTGTAGACATAGCTGGGGCAATGGAAAATGTGAAAGGGACACAGAGAAACAATGAAAATGATTGGCACAAAGACTGCAACGAGACTCAACAGCACCACTGGCATTTAGTTCGCTTTCAGGCCGAGAGGAGGGGGGAGCCTGCCGCATACAAAAGCCTATTGAAAAGGTGTTTGCCCGAAGAAAACGGTGCCAAGACATAGACTGGGCTCCAGCTGACTTAAAGACCTCCAGAGAGGGGTTACTGAGCTATGCCGCACTGATGTGGGCACTTATTACACAGCCAGAGCCAGGACTGCGGCTCAGGTGGGACAAGGAAGTTCAGGATAAAAGGAGATTTGCTTAAAGACTTGAAAGGCATCCTGGACAGTCAAAAAAGAGTGGCAAACAGAGATCTGAGCAGACAAAAAAGTCAAAGGATCAAAATTAAAAACCCTCACAGACACACAAAATAGGAGAGGAAGCAGGAGTAAAAGAGGAGGCAGGTCACAAGTCGGGTCACAAGCCAGCCTATCTGAATTTCAAAGCCTCACCACGCTTTGAAAGCAGCGGTATCCAGCTTCCCTTGCTGCAGATGAAAAAGCAAGCTTCCCTTTTCGGTGCAGCTGGGCTGTGCGCTGCAGTGTAGTGACACCAGTGAATCGCGACGACTGTTACCGCCTCTGAACCCCGAGGTGACAACGGTGATGCCTCAGCATCGCTGTACGAGAAAGCGGTAAAACCTAGTGAGTCCCAGGGCAACTTACACCTCTCAACTGAAAAACGCCTCTCAGAACAATCCGTAGTACCTTAGTTGCAGGTGAAATTCACTGGATTTCCTTCGCTGTATCAGAGAAAGGGGTAAAGGTCCCACTTTGTGTTTACGGAATGCAGCAAATGTCTGAACCAAAACGTGGTTTGGATTCCTCAGTCAACATTATACACTGTGGAGAGAGCGGAACAAGGATGGAGCATGGTGCTCTTGAGTAGAGGCTAGAGAGCTGAACTAGGAAAGCAGCACATCAAATATCTCAAGTTTTATCTTTCAAAAAGCTGGGAAAAAAAGAAGTATTTGGTAGAAACAAGCACCTGCTGTTCAGTGCAGAGAGCTGAAGACAGAGGACAGCTTCAGGATCTTCGTGGAATGAGCTTATGCAGAAAGACAGGCCATGAACACTGGTCTCCTCCTCCCGAAAACAGCGAACAAGAATGGCCCTTTTCTTCTCCTCCTGTTTGTGCAGCTGTAGTCTTGCTGGCAAGAGTGGAAGGAGAATGAGCTTGAATCCTGAGAGGAAAGAAAAAAGAAAAGCAACACAACCCAGTGAGTTCCTGGGAAAAGCACGCCTATCTCCTAGCCTTGTGCATTAAGGCTTTTGCTTTGTTCCTAGATTCGTGTCCAGACGTATCATTAGCATTCCCCGCTCACCCCTTTCTCGTCCGCTTTACGTGCCGTTCACAAGCGTAGGCTTTCTTTTAAATAATAAATCGGGAAAAATTTGATAATACAACTACAACACAACAGCCCCACAAAGGCCAGCACAGCACACCTCAGCTGGAGAGAGGATAATGGCTCCAAGGTGGACAACGCCTGGGTTTTTGTAACGTGTGGATAAAATTGTAACTTACTGCCAGTTTTTTTGCCCATGAGCCCTCTATACGCTGTTTTGGCAGCCCAGACAGCTCCTCTTTGCTACAGGCAACAACTAAGCACCTTGTTGGAAGAGCATACAGCTGTTACCTACTTAGCATACTTGTTTTCAAATCCAGCTAAAAAAAAAAATATAAAACCAGGGTAAATTGCTTTC